GCATCGAGACAGGGCTTCTCCTGTTCCAGGCATAGCAATGAATTTCGGAGGCTCGTCTTTCATCCGCTGTGGGTGGGGCAGGGGCGAGCTGCCTGTCCTCCCCACCCGCCGCTAGGGCAGGGAGAGGGGCAGGTGGGCGAGCGCAGGGCTGCGGTTGGGGTTGGGGTTGGGGCAGGCAGTAGCCGGCTGTGGCCTGATCCTGTGTAGGGGCTGGAGCTGAGCCACAGCAGCCCCCTGCCCTCACCACCCTCCGACGTGATTCGAAGACGAGGTCTCTGGGATGTTCAATGAGGAAAAGACCTCGTCTGAGAGTTGGGTAAATACAGTATTGTTTGCCTTCGTGCGCTTATCTTGGTATTTGAGCACTGGGAAAATTGGCTGTGCTGCTGGGACAGAAAGGCACAGCAGACTCAGAGGCTTCACGGCTGTTTTTGCCAGTTGTTTGTCAAACACATCTTGAGCGTTCGGGTTTAAGGTGAGGATCAGATATTCCAGTTGGTGACAGTGGATCTGGTTTCAGTCGCATGACCTCTGTGGTGTATAGTCCGACTTATTTTGCAGATCTCAGGGAATTATGATTTTGCCATTATACTGCAATTTTTCCTCTCCTCCCCCCACCACCCCCCAAGCATTGGACAAGTGTGCCAGCTTCAGCACGAAGTTAGATGGCCCGTGCTTTATAAATATTAATGCATGTCACAGAAAGTGTAAGTCTTTAGGTTAGTGTTTGTCCCTCCTAGAATACTGATTCGTATTTGAATAACCCAGCACTTAAGTAACATCTGGGCAAGTCTTTGGAAGCTGTTACATTTGAAATGGAAAGGAATTTCTTCAAGAAATTGTAGTGTATGCCCCTCCCCTCTGCCCATAGGCACCTTTAAATAGTGTAGTACTTCATTTGTTTTTGATACATTTCATTCAAAAAGTCCTTTTGCATTGCTAGCAAGTAGAAAATAACGGGCTCATTTTTGAGACCTTTAAAGCATGGAAACAGACTCAGGCAAAATAAAATATTCCCATGTCTCTCTAAGAGCTGGTTAGAGCTTTACAGCTAATATTTCCATTACATTATCCAGTAAAGAACAAAGAAATTCCCATTTTGCAAGAGTTGTGCAGAATTCATCTATTATTATTTTGCACCCATTACCTCCCTAAACCCTCTGTAGCCACATAAAATCCTTTACCAGTCTTAACATATTTAGCTCTTTCTTCCAATGATACAATATATGTAAAACAATTCCTCTTACATTCACATCAGTCTATTTCAAAAGGTCAGGGAAGTGCTGTTCCTTTTTTAGGGTCTTTCATCTTTTTGGATTAGTGTGTATGTGTTTGTTTTTCAGAATTATGACCATCACAAAACAAAGCTGCTGCTGTTCTTGTTAATGGGTTGCTTTATGAAGGTGCAGTGGAGCCAGTGTATGGGTTAAAGTTGATGACAGTGCAATGTACAGCCATATGGGAAACACTGAGTGCAGTGAAAAGTAATTAAGGGCTAGGTCAGTTAGAAACCCAGAACTCAGCACAGGTTCACTGAAGGGTTTGTAAACAAAAAGCTGAATTAGCAAACTTTGTTTGCTCTCCCATAAGCCCTCCACAAGCCCCTAATATCTTCCTTCCCCTGTACTGGTCCTGAGCCCCCTCTCTCCTTTGGGATCTTTTGGAGTTTGCCTGATGACCTCTTTTTTATTGGCTCCAGGGCTACTTCTGTGGTCTAGATAGTGCCTCACGGGCTGTCTTATCTGAGAGGAGAGTCTGTTGGCCCCCAGATGTGTGTATTGGGGGTTTGGGAGATCATCACCCCCCATCCAAATGGCAACAGCACAACTATACATGGTCCAGCCTCCACCTGGCACCCAAAATGTATCTTGGAACTTCCTGTGTGATTACATGTATGGAGCTTAATCAGTAACTGGGGAAGCCTTTCAGGAGCCTTTTGTGATTGACACCGTTCTGGGTAGGGTCACAAACCTCAGAGGAAGAAATCCATACTTCAAGATACCTTATGAATCCCAGTTATGTGGCATGTTGGTGGGTAGGAGATGCTGTGAGGATGTGAAAAGGAGTAGGTATTTACAGGGGTATTTGATGTCTGGCACTTCAGACAAGCCTATAGTAGTTTCTAGTTTGTACATTATCCCCCTTCACCCCAACTCTCTTGCTTGTGTTTGTGAAACAGGCTTTCCAACACCTGTGGTCACTTCCCCTCTTGGCTGTATTTGAACCAGTGACACGGAGTTAGAGTCACAGTCCATTATGGGCCAACAGCCCAGTCCTGTGCATCTGGTCTCCAATGGCTTAAGTCTGCAATTGTGTCTTTGTACCTCTTCACACAATTTAAAGATTTACTAGCCATGCTCTTGCCATTTTCCCAATCTACGTGTAATTCTCCACTGCCACATTCTCCATTGGAGTGTATCACAACTCCACACTGGACACAGTGCATGACACCTATCCACATTGCCTGTCCATGTCTCCTTACACAGTCAAATCCTGAGGGTCTTGTTGTGTCGGACTTCCCTTCTAAAATGTTTGTATTTTTCTTAGCAGTGGTTTCAACAAATCTATAACTCTTCCATAGCAGCTGACGCAAACATCTTAGCAAAAATCATTTTTAAAGCAGTTTCCTCACCCAGGGGAAATGCAGTGTAGACAGGGCCTTAAAGAAACTAATAATTAGGTGACCTTTTTTCCTCAGAACATTGGGTCTATTTTATGTAGAGCTGTTTGAAACCCCACAAATTCTCATTACTCTCAAAATCTCTAACCTTGTGTTGCTTTGCTTGTTTCAGATACCTTTTAGGAAATCAAATCAGTGTTTCAATCTAATTTCTAAAGGCATTCAACCACATGGTATGTGTGCTAACTTGTTTCCTTTAGCATTAACAAAACTTGCAAATTGCCAAACTATTTGCTTTCAGGAAGACTATTATGTTGTACAGGAAGATAAAGTATTTTTTCCTGCTATTTTAAATATGAAAAATAAAGAAAAAGTAAAGTTATCAGGCCAAATTGATCCAGGGTGTAAATCTGCTGAAGAAAATGGTGTTACATTAAGGAGGTATATTTCCCAAAATGATCAGTTGTCATTTATGACTTGTATGTGCATATGTTTTTGTTTGTTTTGTTTGGCTTTCCTATAATTTTCTTGTGACATGAGATGTAACTTAGTAGGAGTTGATCTTTGCCTCAATTCTACTGACTCTAATGGGCCTTCCTTGGATTAGGCCCCTAATGATATTATGAAAGATCTGAGTGGAGGGATGGAATGAGAGCAAGAAAATTTGGGACATTTTCTAATGTATAGTTTTGCAAGAAGATGTCAACAATAGAGCAGTTTTTATAACATGGAGATGTGCAATAATTACAAAAGCACTTAATCAGAATGCTTTTGCAATGTGCCTTAAAGCTGTCTAATGAAGCTCTTTTACAAGTCCAGAAAAGATCATTTCAAAACAGGCCCTTTGACAAGAAGGTAATTCCCAAGTCTATATTTTAAATTCATCCTGAATTCAGCTGAAATGTCACATGAATTGTAAAAATCTTATTTTATTGAGATTTTTATACCATGCCCATCATAATGGTATTTGCTATCCAGAGGCATTCAATCTATGTTTTAAGTCTCAGGCCTTTTTTTCTTCTTGTGATAAGGTAAAACTAAGAGCTTATTATATGTTAGTTGCTTTTCTTTGCAATAGCTCCTTCATACTAATACCTTTCCTACTAAACAGTATCAGACTCCATTTGATGTGTGCCAGCATCATTTCTGCTAAGGATCAGTGACCTAGCTTGATAAATATTAAAATTAAGCCATATAACTAAATATGTGACATTTATTAAAATTCATCCTTTGCCTGGAGCTGCTTTCTCTAAAAAATATTGAGAATAGTAAAAGATTGCGGGTGCAATTTGATTAAATCTGCAGTTGTTACCATTTGACTTCTGAAAATTGATTTTTGTTTTTTCCCAAAGCTTTGACATGCTTGCTGATTAAAAACTATGCACTGACTAAGCGAGGTTACATTTGTATGCTGTCCATGCAGGTTCTAACAGGTTTTGAAATGTAATGTAAGCCTGTTATACTCATAACCTACTGGAATTGGTAAGTTTACTTAAAAAAAATAGCTTTTGTTTTAAACTATATGATGACACATCTTTGAACTCCATTGTATAAAAGGAAAACACATTCTTACTGTAGAGAGATTTCCTGTTTATGTATATGTTTGCTGGAATTAAACCTTCCCCTCTGTGCTGACTGGTAAAGTTGCAATTTACCTAGTGAATTTAATTTTTTTTTGGACAGGATATAGTACCTTTTTTTGCAGAATAGCACTGTGTCTGGAGTCGACAGTGAAACTAGAAGCTTCTGAGTTACACTCCTAATCAGCCTAAGTTTACTGAGAGAGCTCAGTTAAAAATGAAGACAGATAAAGGTGATATATGTTTAACTTTTATTGGTATTATAATATGTCATAGGTTCCTCACTTCCCACACATGTAGCTTTTGACTCTGTCAGATGCTAATGATCCCAAGTGTGTTTCTCTAGTGTTTTTCTGAAGATATGACACTTACCAATTTTGTAGTCCATTTTAAAAATAGTTATAACCTTAACTCTGGCTTTGACCAAAGAGAGTCCTTTGAGGAAACATACAGACACCTTTCACTTCCATTCAGATGTGGTATATGTATGATTATTTATTCATTATATATTAAGGGCTTCTGGCTTGTGTCACACTAGTTTCATTCTAAAAAACTGTCTCAGACAGCAGAAATACCACAGAATGGGTTCTGTACTGATTATACACAGAGGCTGATTATTAAAGCTAATGGTGACACTCTCTAATGTGTGAGAGTTCACAGTCTGTCACCTTAGCCTGTATTCTCCCCACCATAATTCCACCCTGCTGATATACTGGCACTGTTGAATCATAAGGGTCTAAATCTAAATTTTATTCCTGTTGATCATGCTTACTAGTAAATATTTAAAAGACTGGCTCCCTAAGTTCTGATCCTGTGCAGAGAACTGTTTAGGTGATCCCCAACATCATGCAGCCCCTTTGAATTCAATGATCAGGACTTCTCTGGGTGAATACTACCTGGTTCTTTATTTTCCTCTCTATTACGTGAGTGCATTAAATTGAAGAAATGTATGTATTTAAAGATATTTTAAACACATTTTTTCCAGTCAGCAATAGTCACTATATACGGCACGTTAATTTTACAATGACTGAAATAATTAAAAAAATTGAAAAAGCAAATTGATTGATACAGTAAACCATATGAGCGATGGGAGGCCACTGTCCTCTCTGCTTTTATATCCTTCCTCAACACTGAGCTTCACCATGATGTCTATATATGAAATTAGCTATGAGCAAAATTATTAAATTGCAGGGAGTTAACAGGTGGGCAGAGGCCTACTGTGGAACAGCTGATGTGCAGCAACTATCTGTCTGCTCTTCCCCCACAGCAAGTGGAAGCTAAATCAGGGCAATTTAATCTTGTTATATTTGAGCAGTGCATAATGGGGGATGGGAATACCTGAATGTCTCCTTAGAGAGGGTGCAAGAATGGTAACTGCCTCCACTGCTGGTACTGCTGCTGCAGCTGGC